TGCAGTTCTTGGGATCAACTTTACATTGTCTCTGCATATTAAACTGAGCTAGGAGAAAGTATTTGGAATGAGCTTGTTATGCATGTATCGTGTATTGAGCGCTGAATGAGTGTTGAACGCCCTCAGTGGGAGGCTGAGTAAATGCATCGCCTCAGACCGAATTTCAGGATCGTTCAGCTGATACAGTCTGCTAATGTGAGATCTTCACAATGTTGTCATTTCAGCTCTCGTATTTCTAAAACTGTGATTTATATCAAAACATAGTATCAGACAAGACCATTGTTATATTCCATTTCCAACTTGCTTTTTACATTTTCCGAAGAAAATATGAGTGGTACCACAATGCTGGGTTATTGTGGTGTGATTGCAAAGCCATTGTTTTGTGGTTGCTAAGGTGTTCTGAGCCATTTTTAGCACACTGCTGTAGAATTGCTATGGTTTTATAGATGGTTGCTAAGTAAAAGCGGGTATACTTAACCCCTTCGTATGGAAAATACTTTACAAAATAGAGTTTTCCCCTAAAATATCGAAATATAACAAGATTTGTGAAGATTTTACAATTTACGTGAGAAGAAATAGATATTTATTAAAGAATAGGTCAGGTTTAACGCCGCTTTAGCATTGTCATTTAGCATGTCCAAATATCCAGCTAATAATTCATTATTTATAATACTTAAATTAATTTGCTTCTTTTTTGAATTCATGTTTGGCCTTTTGTGCTTTTTTGCAGATCTGTGTAACTGGAAGAACAAAGAAAGGAGTTTTATAGTTTACCTCAGTCATGCAGAAGGTAATGTATGTGGATGCTATCGTGCTCGATTTGTATTTGTTTATTTTTTTTCCCAAGATCATTTCACCTTAAAGCCATTTTTGGCAAAAATCGTCCATCTCCTAACACTAGAATTTCCAGAATGTTTATATAGCTTTTCTCAATTCCTCATATGTGGACACTTTCCTCTATATTGTCTTTCTGTCAAAGTAAACCCATTAAAGTATGATCAGATCTGCAGTGGGTTTTTTCACTTAGTGAGAATGGAAAGGGGGCGTGGCTGAGTGACACACATCATCAGTTTGATTGATGGCATTACTTATAAATCTTATTTCTCATTAACAACATGTCACTGGATAGGAGCAGTTAAATGATGACCTCTGACCTTTTTGCTCTGCTCTCCCGCCACAGGCAGGGACGGCCCCGTCCTCCCAGGGTCCAAGTGCTCCTGGGTCCCCAGCCACCTCGATTGTGGTAAGTAAAACTCTCAGTTTCACAGATAACACATGCGTTCTGTTATCTGCCATAAAGCACATGCTCCACATCCCAGTTCCCAGGAACCCCGTGAGGCATCTCAGAGGACAAGCGTTTCTTTCACTCAGCCTCTCTCTTTCTAACTCCCCAAAGGCACGAATGGACAATCAGGTCATCGGATATAAAGACTTGGCCGCCATTCCCAAAGACAAAGCCATTCTTGAGGTGGAACGGCCAGATCTGATGGTGTACGAGCCGCATTTCAATATCTCAGCCCTGGATCGGATAGGTCTCTCCAGAAGCAGAGAGGTCAGAAAAGAACGAGTGTGTCTTTAGATCGAGTCTTTGTTTCGTTGTACCATCGGGAAGCATTTGAGAAGCTTTATTGTACGTTTTACAACTTCCACTTCAAGTGGGATCAATGTATATGTGTTTTGG